GTGATTCTTATTGGAACACATGTTGAAGTGTGGTGCTTGGTTATTCACACTTATTATATATAGTAATTGTAATTTGTAGTTTCTTTTTCGTCAATTTCAAACAATATATGTTTATCATATAATCCATTTTATGTGGTACCAATAGAATTTAGAGAGTCAATTAAATTTTTTATATAACTTTTAAATATTTAAGGTGTTACTTATTGTAATGTATAGTATTAGTTATATTATTTTTAAATATATTTAAATATTATATGTTACCTTTTTTATCTTAATTTATATGGCATTGATAGAATTTAAAGTGTCAAATAATTGTTAATTATTGTAATATATAATATGGAGTATTTAAGTCATTTAGAGTATAGTAATTAATATATAATATGTAGTATTTAAGTGGAAGGTAGTGGGGCCCACATATAAATATATTAGATATTAGTAGTGATTCTTATTGGAACACATGTTGCCTTGTGGTGAAAACTTATTCCCTCGTCTTATATAGTAATCATCTTCCGTCATACTAATCAATACTATAAAGCACGCCTAAACTCCTTTTTCAATTCCAATATAGAAAACATTGTTTACTCTAAAAACGGTATAGTTGAATTTATATGGGGTTAGCAGCATGTGTCTTAATCTAATGTTTTATAGATCCACTTATTAGTGGTTTGAATCAAAAGAAGTGAATATACCGAAACAAAATGTTGTAAAGAAAAAAGGGGGTGAATTCGGCTATGTTTATGTGTTTGCAAGTGAGTTCGAGAGCTCAAACACTTGCCTCAATGCATACTCATGACTCGACTTGGATCGATTTTTTATTTCGAAACAAAAGATTTAAAAATGCATACTCATGACTCGACTTGGATCGATTTTTTATTTCGAAACAAAAGATTTAAAATACTCCGTTGAATTGAAACTCATAAAAAGTAACTATATCCATGTCAAGCAACACTATTCATGATCTTCTTTAAATAAAATAAAATCAACAATTAAATAAAACAAATAAAAAATTAGGGTACAATTTATTTTTATTTTTTGCACCTTATTTCAATTGAAGACTTTCTTCAAGAGCTCTCCTTCCCTCTAACTTCAACATATGAAGCAAGAAATCACTCCAAGTATCAATAGGACCAGGCAAACACCAATGCACACAATCATTATACAAAACCACATTAGCATTTGGCCAATGTCCATATTTACTAGGATGACCATCTGGTCTCAACAACATTGCTTGTGTCATATCCAATAATCTAAACCTTTTACCTTTTTTCTTCCCTTCCTTAGCTGCAATCTTAAATTCTTCAACTTGTGTCCTATAAAATTCCAAACTTATACCATCCAATGTTGTCTCATTACTTCTAAATGGACCTTGTCTCACACAATTTCCACCTTTATTCCATTCACCACCTTCAAAATGAGAAGGTGCAATTGTCCTAACAAAAGTAACACCTTTAAAATTCTCTAAACTATTTATGGCTTTTAAAGTTGTTTTAAGTGCTTTTTGATAGCCATAATTTATTGAGAGATCAGTAATATTTGGTAGTCCACAGTAATGACACCCAATTATTTGATTTTTTTCGTAGTAGATACTGCACCTTGTGTACCAATGAGCAGAATTGAGGATCAAATAATTGAATTGTTCATTTTCAATTTGAGTAGTCCATTTTGGATCAGGTTCATCAAGATAAAGATTGAAAAGTCCTGTATGGCTAGGACCATCAGGGTCTGATTCTTTAACCGTGACCAAAAATGGTGACCAATATGCTGCTAAGGTGAAATTATATGTCGTGTATTTCCACCTTCTGAAATTTTGATCTGTGTCATAAGAAATATCAATCGGATATTCCACCTGTAAATTAAATAAACCAAACAGAAAAAGAAAAGAAAATGTTTTAGTATTTTAAGTATGTCATTAAATTAGCATGTACCTAAGTTTAATAATTAAAGAGATATAGAAAGGGACAATTATATTAATTTCTTGATTAAGAAAGAAGTTAAGAATTAGGAACCGACGCTCTGGATAGGATTCTCTAACAAGTTGTCATAATAATGTGACATTACATTATTTAAGTAGTACATCTTTTTAAGGGATAAAGGTAAATACGACTATATATTATAAAGATAGGATACGACAAGTTATATATGCTGGCATTCTATATGCTTCCAATTAAAGTTGTTCATTTTGTTATTTAAAAGTTGTAAAATGATTGCAAGAGTATAAATTATGTGGCCTTTGCTTCTTATGGAAAAAGAGAAGTTTGATTGAATCATATGCCTACACAGTATCATGTCACAAGCACACAACTAATATACATATAGAAAATTGAGCTCGAATGATAAGCACTTTTCACTTTTAATTCTAAGATCGTGAGAAGAAAAAGAAAAAACTGTCAGAACTAAGGAAAGAAAAAAAAATTAAAAATACAAATGTAGGCATTTGAATTATTCCAACACCCCACACTCCATTTGGTTCCAAAAATCATTAGCACAATACCAAACAATTTTTTTTGAAAGAAATATTTATTAGGGATATAATTTGGTAAATTAACTTTATTAATTATACATTACAACTCTAAATTTGACTATTACTGTTCTATCATCTATGTAATAAAATTATTTTGATTTCTAAATTGGATCACAAGTACTCTAAAATGAAATATCTATTTTTACTCTAGAGGCTAAGTAATATGAGATGGAGGGAGTACTCTCTCTCTCTCTCTCTCTCTGACTTTTACTTGTTCATTAATCATTATATTAAAAATATATACTTAATTACTTTTAAAAAAAATTCATATTTTATCCTCAACATAAATTACTTATTCGGAACATTAATTAATATGAATATTATGATAAAATACGAAGATTTTATTCATTTTAATGAACCTATCCGACATGGATTGGATTGATAAAACAAAAGTTTCGAATACCCGACGTGACTAAAAGCAGACATAAAAAAATCTTGCTGCTTTTATGAGGCTTTAATATAATTTCACCTAAACATTCGTCAACTACAAGCCAAGTGAAACTAAAAAGAAAAAAATTGGAACTTTAATTTTAATTCTTATTATATAAAATTTTATATTAATTAAAATAATTAATTTGGATATCCTTCATGTAGAAAATATGTCATATTTAGATTACTTTTAGAATTATACTATCAATAAATATAGAGTAATACTATAAACTTAACATAACACTAGATAATTAAGTGATGGAACAGTGAATAGTCATAGTAAACTTGTGACTAATCACTAAAAAAAAGTCCTAACATGTATATTTCAATTAATTAAAAATTTAAAACACTTAATTAATTAATATCGCAAAACTAAAATTATAATTTATCAATAATTGAAGCACCAAAATACTGTTAACAGAAAGAAAAAGTAAGAGGTGAAATTGATCAATGGTCCTGTCCTGTCCAATGATCATTAGTTCATGTAAATCAATAAAAGAAATTTATGAATATCAAAACAAACAGGAATTAATTAGCAAATATTTTTAAACCTACATCGAAACGAAAGAAAATTAAAGACATTAAGCAAAATTAATAAACAGAGGAAAATTAGATTAATTTCACATAAAAAAAAAAAGAAGCTTAATAATATACTGTAGTAACTATTAATTGACTGATCATTTGAAAATTAAATAATCTTACCCGAGACAAGAGGCAAATTAAAGACTGCATTTGATTTCTTCCGACTGAATCTCCAATAAATGCCATAGACTTATTTCTCATCATATCCAAAAATTGATACGGGTTAAAAATTGGTAGATCGCACCCTTTAGGCTTCCATCTCCATTTCAAGAAGTCAATATCCGGCCTCCCATATTTCATGCAATTTTGGTGTTCGTGGATCGCCCAACATGTCAAGTTCGTGTAATACGGAGCATCCGGATTATGAACCCACTCTCCAATGAATACATCACACGTGTCTTCATCATCCTGTTCTATTATCTTTTGGTACTTAGTTGTAGTACCATATGATAGTGATGATGTAATTTTAGAAGAATGGTCTACGACTAAATTCGCAGGGTACCTATAAAAAGGATGGTAAAGAGGAATAAGACCAAGAATGATTAATGTTAAGGAAACAAGAATTAATATTCTTGGAGTTCTCTGAGCTGTACTGAAGTTTCTCCAAAAAGGAAGAAGCTCCATAGTTTAAAGAAATAATAATTCAGAAATGGGATTATGAGAGAGGAAGGAGAAAATTTTACAATTGTTGGAACTTATATGTGATATACAATAAACGTGCTAATCACTAATTATAATGTTTTAGTTAGACTAACTCCAAAAATCTTTGCAATTATGCAACTTTTAGATGCTATGTCTTTTTCATTCAATTCAATAATGACTTACTCCCTCCAACCTCCATTTTTCAAGAGTCAATTTGACTAATTTTTAGATTACATTAATTAGATATTTTAAAATAAAACTTTAAATATTCAAAAAAACTATATAGAAAGTACTATAAATTACAATTTTTTTCATATTAATATTATGAAAAAAATACATGCATCTTAAAATGTTAATCAAAATTCATATCGTTTGACTCTCAAAAATACGACAAGCTTAAAAGTTAGTGACCCAATCCTTAATTCACTTTAATTGGTGACTCTGATTTTATCAATTTCTGTACACGTCTAATCCGTAACCACCCTCATATGTAATTAATTAATAAGGGCAGAAAAATAATGGAACTGCAATAATTGTATGTTAACTCTTCTAAATTATATTCAATATTCTAAATTTAATTTGTCAAATCACTGTATATACTTAATTAATATATGTCATTGTGCTAATCATATTAATATTATTTCATTACACAAAAGAAAATGCATTTTGTATAATCTAGCTATAGATTGTGACGAGACCGTATATACTTAATTAGCCTAAACTTAAAAATAGATCAAGTTTAACGTATTCATATTTTGTAAATGCACTCGAATTTAAAACTAAAATGGATTATAGTGTTCAACTGATGCTTTAATTAAAAATTAACTCTCTTTTTTTCTTTCAAAATGTTAACTTAGTTCTTCTATACATATGTGGAAAGTCAAGAGGATGAGGGGGAGAAAAATAATTAGCAATGTGGGGTGAGTAGTGCTAATAATTTTTTGTAAATATATGTGGCACATAGTAGTACGTGATAATCATATCGTGTATAGAATAATCTATATAACAATTATTAATTTTTTGATGGGATCATACTAGTATGCATTTCTTTCAAACATAGTTGTCTAAGCAATTATAGTACTTCCTTCCGTCCATTTTTAATTGTCATGTTATATTTTTCGAAAGTTAATTTGACTAATTTTCAAAGTGAAATTAATTTACATTAATTCGATATTTTAAACAAAAAAATCAGATATTCAAAAACTATACGAAAATTAATATAAATTGCAATTTTTTGCATATTAATATGATGAAAAAATACGTCATAAAATGTTAGTCAAAGTACTTATCATTTGATTCTAAAAAAGAAATCATAAAAATTAAAAGTGGACGGAGGTAATACATAAAAATCATTACGAATAGTCTTGATAATTAGTCCAATTGTCACGAATAGTCTTGATAATTTGTCACGACCCAAACCGTCGTGATTGGCACCCACACTAACCCTCCGGTGGGAGAACCATTACTACAACCCAGACTAAACAACTTAACCAAAAACTATGCCTTTAAAGATACGGAAGCAAGTTCAAATGACTATAAAAATGGACTCCCCATAAACTCCAAAGGTTTAAACAAATAACTAACCAAACTGATGCGGAAATTCAACCCCTAGAACCTGAAAGTCAATGTACCAAAACTCTAACAAGATTCATAAGTCTAAACAAGAAAATTATCTAAAGAACTAGTCTAAGTCAGAATAGGATGGACTAAACAAAAAGAGAACTCAAGGCAGCCCGGAAGAACTGGCTCACCCTTGAATTCGAATCGGCAATCACTGATCTTCTAAGTGAGGTCTATCAATAGCCACCGGAAGATGCCCTGTACTCAACAAAAATAAGAGCAAGTGCAGTATCAGTACACAATTCCACCGTGTATTGGTAGGATCACGCGGCTATCCCAATAAGTGAAACACATGCAAGTAACCACAACATTATAAAACAAGCATATACCAAACATATACAATATTAGTCATCTTTTCAAGATCAATGTAGCATCACACGTTCTTAATAATACACATTGGTTATCAATTTAGAGCAACATACAGTCTTCCAATATCAATCATCATTAGATATGAACATATTCATCACAAGTAGATACACAATACAATTCAATGGTTCTCTCACGGAACCCAATTCAATGGTCCTCTCATGGAACCCACACCAAAACTGTTAGCATACCGGAACGTGGTATCCGATCCAATGTTTATGCCAGAACGTGGCAACCGATCTCATATTTATGCCGGAATGTGGCAACCGATCCCATGCTTATGCCGGAACGTGGCAACCGATCCAAGTTAGTGTGTCGGAATGCAACACCCGATCCATTCAACAAACCACAATCACAATCACAATGTATATTCTCACAATCATACAACAAGAGGTGATTCATGGCATACAATTATTCAATTATCCTCATCCACAAGTAGTGTGATCAATAGTGCAACATTCACATACATACACATATTATAATGAAACAATTACAAACATATATCACACCAATATGAAATCACAACCATCACCTACCTCGAATCCAAGCTTGAATCCTCTAATGCACTTGAATCTTCCCTTTTCGAATTCTTTTCGCTTGTTCGTGGTCTAAAAACATACAATTAACGCAAGGATCAAGAAACGAGGCCTAATTACTCGGATTATAATCAATAATATCAATCCTAGGTCAAACCTTTGATCCTTATACCCAGATTAGGGTTTTTTCCACCATAAATCACATATCAAAACCTCCATCATTGATAATTACCCACGAATTTACATTCAACGGATCAAAAAATGGATTCGGGGAGTTAAAACCTTACCTTTAGCCTTAAGAATGGTGAAAAACGGTCAAGAACTCGTCTGGGGTCGTTCCTTAGCTCTCAAAGTCGAAAAGTGCAGAATAAAGTCATTTTGGGGTTTATTTACGACCTTAAGTCGCGTCTGGCCCGCCACAACGACACCCACCCTGCTACAGCGGCCCCGCCCTGGTGACAGAATTCCCACCCTAGTGGCTTGCACGGAACCAGTGAGCTATTTTAATAATTCCAAGACCCCCATTTCACAACACACCTTTAACCAACGACGCTCAGAAAATACCGTTCACGTTAAGATCGATTCCGAGAGTTCTACTCACCCGAATTCAATTCCGTAAAGTCGTACAGATTCCTTAACGACTTATCTAACCACTCATGTAATCAAAATCATAAAATAAGTCACCCGATTGCTACCAGATTTCCCTACATCTTAACGACTCTGATTTCGTCCAAATCTGGACTAGGTTGAGAAATCCAAAATTACTACTCAAAAATTTTCTGGCCCCAATTCTTTCCCCATTGACTTTTCTATAACGACAGGAACAGGTCGTTACATAATTGAAGGGGGGAATCTTTCATAAATCTCTTCGTATTCTAAGATATTTATATGACATAATAATTAATGTCAAATTAAAGTGATCTTGTTTTATCTCTGAGAAACTTGATCATCATAAGATTATATAATAATATAAAAAACAAGAGTAAAACTAAAAGCAAAAAATATGGGAGGATGTCCAAACTCATCGGTAAAAGGTAATGAAGTAATATTGTTATTATACTTGTTAACACTACAAGAAAAGTGTGAATTACATGAGAATTTTTCTGGGAATTATGTATGAAAATTCACAGAAAATAAGTTTCCTGCGGATTTTCCTATAAAAATGAATCCGAAGGTAATACCTTCATAGGTAATTATTTCCTGCGAATTTCAAAATCCCCAACTAATTTACCCAGGGATTTAAATTCCACAAGAAAATTACTTGCGGATTTTCTTGCAAAATATACAAAAAAAAAATGAATTTTCTTATCAATTTATTCGCAAGTAAAGTAATTCAAATAAATTTCTTTTAACTATTGGCTAAAGTTCATGTAATTTGACTCTAAAAAAGTGAAACATGACAATTGTTTATATATTTAAAATAAATCACTACCACCCAACATTCATGAATTTTTTTTGCTTACACTTCCTATGAGATAATGTCTATCACTAAGCATATTAAACATAGACAAAATTTAAATTATACATACAAAGTTTTTATCAATAAATAATTGAAAATATAAATAAATTTATAAGTTTAAAGTGCAAGAAAGTTATAATCAATAATTGTTAATATATCTTATTAGGTATTTATGGTATTTTTAATTTAAATGTAAATTTTAATAATTATATTTTAACATACTTAATTATATATTTGCAAATAAATATCATTTAATAACTTACTATATATATAGAAATTATGTCATTTTTAATAATTCTAAAAAATATCAATTGGATATACAAGTAAAATTTATTTATTTTTCATTTAATATAATTTTATCAATGAAGGGTAATTAAACTTCACATTAATAATGTTATATAATCAAATCTTTCTATACTTTAATATAATGCTTGACTTATTCAATAATACACAATTAAATATAAGTAATATTAAATCAAAATTAATTACATCATGATAGTTATTTTTCTATTATTGGATAAATAACTAGCCATATAATTTTAATGCTTTCTATCTTTTAAATTGTAAAAAAAATAAAAAAAAAATCGCATCATTGGTTTCTTGTGATAAGTTAAAAATATTGATAATAACATTTGTAGTAATGTTCCAACACCGTATTAGATTGATATTATTGTATAATAATTATTTAATCTAAAAGTAGAGTAAATATTTAACAATAAAATTCATTCTAATGTCATTGTTATTTTTTATATTATTGTAATTTTTATTTGGTTAAATATATTTAAAAGAAAATATTACTCGAAGTTTTCAAATAAAACAAGTTACTAGATTTTAAAAAAAAACTTCCAGTTAAATTATATTTAAAAACTTTCAAGTATGCATTCCTCAAAAAATCTCCAATCAAATTCACGATAGTAAAATCTCCAAGTAAAAAAAATCTCAAGTAAATCCTCAAGAAATAAACTCCCAACATAATTCGTAGAACATAAATCCCCAGATAATACAACATAAAAAATTATTTCTAAATAATTTTTTAAGTTATTATTTCTAGCTGGATCGGGAAATAAGTTTATTTAGGAATTTTCTTTCAAACAAATTTAAAAAATAGTTTTTTTTCATTACTTGCGAATTCACATATGAAAATGGTACTTGCAAATTATGTTCCCCAAATAATTTCCCAGGTAATAATTTTATGAAAAGGGCGTCAAATTAACCTACCAATTTTTTTGGGGAAATATTTTTCACAGGTAAAAAAGTTCAAAATTTAGAAATTTCATATTTTCACATGAAAATTTGTAGGAAATTTCTACGAAAATAATCCCCAAGTAAAATCTCCAGGTAATTTACAGTTTTTTGATAGTGTTAAGATAATAAGTGACTAACAAGATTCGCTTTTTAGGACAACTCAATTCTCTTATTCATCGATCCAATGCATTGAGTTCATCTCATATAAGAAAAAGCCAAAATATAGTTGTCTTGCTCGCCGCCTCGATGCATTCCCCTCTCCCGATTGGGTGCAGGACACATGTCCTTTGAGACATCTCCGTTTTAATAAGAAGTTGTTTAATGACTTAGAAGAGTTAACTGCAACGTGGTTATGAATAAAAAATATTCTTGCTTAAGTTAATTTCTGAAAGAAGTCGTGTCTTGAACAATGTTCTCACCTTCCTTTCTAGAAACTTAATTTTTGGAGCACCTTTCAACAAAGCAAGCATTAAATTTGTTTTTGAAGCTGATAAATAATTATTTCACGTGGACACAATTTTTTTGAATTTTTTTTATCAGTGTATGCATATTTGTAGGGAACATTATTCAATAAATTATCAATAATACAAATATTTTTAATTCTACTATATTGCTGAGTCTGAGCAGTGGTGGAGTCAGAAATTTCTCCAAGGGTGTTCAAACTTTAAAAGAATCGATATTTTATTTTTTAGCGGAGTGGGTGCACGAAACTTTTTTTTATTGATGAGTGGGTGCACCCAAATTTTAAAATTAAATTACATATCACTTAATAACTAAATAATACATAAACTTACAATTATAAAACTATCAATGGTAAAAATTAAAACTAATGGACAAAAGTCAATAAAAATAATTTTAGCTTCTAGTTGAATTTACTCCCTCTGGTTCATATTAAGTGAATTGTTGAGACTTTTTTCATGATTCAAAATAACTTAATGTTTCAAAGTTCAAGAGAATTGTTGAAACATTTTTTTCATATTTACCTTTTCTTTTAATAAGATTCTTAACTATTTTACATTTTCTAAAAGAATAGTGTAGAAATAAGCAAAAATATAATAGTGGATAATAATCTTTAATTTTATTTTTAATTAGTATAAATGGTATATATGCTCTAGTTTTTGGATGACAGGGGCACCAACGTCCCAAAAGTATGACGAAGGGTATCTGCATACCATTTATATTTATGATAGTTCGGGGTATATTTGTCCTTATTCCCATCATTTATTTATTTATTTATTTATTTACCCTCCCTAGGAGCTCCCACCCCTTTTGCTCCCTTGGTGACTCGAACTCACAACCTTCAGGTTAGAAGTGAGGGGTGCTTACCATCCGAGCAACTCCCATCATTTAATAGAGAATTATTACTTTTAAACTTTTTATTTTATCATTATTTATTACTAATATTAAAAATAATACAATATTTATAGGGTTAACAACAACAAAGGAACTAATGGGATATATCAGGTTAATTAAGGTCATTCTTACAAGAGCTCTTCTTCTTTTATTAGACATTTGAAATGATTATATATAACCAAATTATAAGAAATTCTAACCAATTAACTGCATATCCATTTTTTCAATAATATTTAGGCACATGTATAATAATTAAGGTACTGAATCAGATTGTGATTAAAAATTTAAAATAAAGTTGAAATTAATTAGACTTGAAGCAACCATAACCTTGATTAACTAAAGAACGTACGTACCTTCCCTAAACTTCTTCATTATTAATGTTTCTTGATCTAAGATGGGAAGAAGCATAAATTATTGCTTTTTTTCCAACTCTCAAGAAGAAATATTCAAAATTCGAATCAGCATAACATTTTAGGATTTAAATTATATATAAACTGACTACGATCAAAGTCATGACTACTTCAACAACAAAAAAAGGACGACCCCCTATTCAAATCAAAAGAAGTACCTCATCTAACTTGCGAAGAAGTTCAAGAGTGTAAAATAGGTTCATCATTACGCCATCATTCAATTTAATAACCAGCTATAATTAAGGTGGGCATGGTACGATAATTTTTTAAGAAATGTCTAAATTATATCATATTTACCTCTTACATAGGTAGAACTATTCATAACAAAATATAAGCAATATATTATGTAATATAGCTATAGTTTCAATTATTTTAATCTGTGGCTACTGTTTCGCGAAATTTTGCTATTTGATTTCTTAATTATATAAATCCAGAATTTGTATATACTCACCCTAACTATTTATATACGATTTATGAAAAAATCACAATAAATATATACAAACGGAGTTCTGAAAAGTTTCTAAATGTATAAATACAGAATTTGTATATACTTACCTTGTTTGTATATTGACAAGCGAAATATACGAACCACAACCTCCATACCAAACAAAACTATAATTATAGAGTGTATACCGAAACTATAGTTATATAGCCTTATTATATTTATTATTTTTGCTATTTCTCAAATTTACTCTAAAAATAGGGTAAATTAAATTTGATTAAATTAAGAAGAGTTTTAGTACTACAGGTAATTTTCTATTAGAAGTAAGATATTTAATAACTTGAAAAATAAGATGAATTACATGCTATATCATATTCAAATGCACCTATAAATGCATAATAGAAAGGAAGTGCAGGACATAAATTTAGTCTAGTACTTCCTCCTGTCTAAAAGTATTTGTCATTTAAGAAGTTTATTGTTATTAAAGACACAATCACCCTAATTGTGAAAAAGAATGACACATAACTAGAATACTTGATATTTTCTTAAGAGGAGTGTAAAAGAGAAAAACTGAAAAACACGATAAATAATTTGTGACGAATGGAATATAGTAATTAAAGAAATAAGAATATAGTACCTTGGACAAGAGACATATTAATGATTGCATATGATTTCTAGCAACAGAATCTCCAACAAAGGCCATTGATTTTCCTCTAACAATTTCAAGAAATTGATGTGCATCAAATATTGGTAGTTCACATCCATCTGGTTTCTGTTTCCACTTGAAAAAATCAGTATCAGGCCTACCATATTTCATGCAATTTTGATATTCGTAAGTTGCATTACATGACATGTTTGTATAATAATTGGGCCCTTCTCGATTTTGTACCCATTCTCCTAAAGATAAGTCACAATAATCTTCTATATTATTATTATTATTATAATAATTAATTTCTGAGATTTTCTTCTCAAAATAAGGATGGTAAAGGGTGATGATGATTGTAAACAAGAAGAAGGTAAGGCCAACAAAAGTAACAATTTTGGTAAAAAACTTACTTTGGGTTTGTGGCCTCATGATGAAAGCTATTGTACTTAAAACTTCAAGGAAATACTTCCATTATATAAAGAGATGTAGTGAGTGAATAAACATTAATTTATACCACTCTCATCCCAAAATAAGTAGGTGTTTGGCCATGCGATACCATATCACGATATGGAATTGTGAGATTGAATCAGTGTTTGGATGTTTTAGAAATAAAAAAATTGTCCCATAATAAGTGTCACTTTAGAAATTCAACACAAAAGTTTGTATGTTTTTCCAACTATACTCTTATACTCCATTTTTATATATAATAATGTTCCAACTTTTTAGAGACATTTGTTAAATAGGGTAGTTTTTATATTTATTGATTTTTTAATAGACATGATTTTAGTTCAAATGACACTTGTTTCTTAATGTACATAAATTTTACTTTTATCGTTGTAAGGTAGATTTTCGATTTAAAAGAAATATATCTGACGTAGGAGAATTAGAAAAAAAGCAAATGTACAAAATTAGTATTGCAACAATAATATTAAAACAGAACTAGTGTATAACATATTATTATGCATTCATTTCTACCCCTAGGTCAAAACTCAAAACTCAAAAGAAACTCTAAAAGAGAGATTATTTTATAGCAAAAAGGCAAATGAACTGAGGAACTTTTTTAAAAAAAAATTATTATTTGTAATATCACATATTTTTCCCTTTCTTTTAGGGTAATTTCCCCTTTCTATACAAAAACGACCAAAATTACTCTTGACAACTCTGAATAATAACTAAAATGAAAAAACACAAAACAAAAAATAGATTATTATTTTTTCACTATCAATTTTTTCCCTTCTTGTGGGCAATTACCCCCTTTCTGTACCACAACAAACAAAGTAATATAACAATTGTGAATAATAATTATAAAAAAAAAAGTTTTCCTTTAGAAAAATGGCAAATAAAAAAGATAATAAAATATTATCTATGACTTTCCTCCCTTTTCATGAGTTCAAGTAAGAAATCATTCCACACATCAATTGGGCCTGGCAAACACCAATGGACACAATCATTTGAAAATGTAACATTTGGTTTGGGCCAATGTCCATATTTACTAGGATGACCATCTGCTCTCAACAACATTGCTTGTGTTGCATCAAATAGCCTAAATTTCAAATTTCTCATTTTTCCTTGTTTTTGAGCAACCATAAGTTCTTGCAATTGAATCTTGTAAAACTCCAAGCTATAATCATCCAATACCTTTTCGTTCCTCTTAAATGGGGTCGTCCTAACACAATCTCCTCCTTTATCCCAAACCCCGTCTTCAAAATGAGACGGGGCAAATGTCCTCAGAAACGTCACACCCTTATAATTTTTTAGGTTGTTAATGGCCTGAAAAGCCGTGTGAAAAGCCTTTTGGTAGCTGAAAAATGATGTCATTTGGCTAACATTGGGTTGCGAGCAGAAAAGACAGCCAATTAGGGTGTGGTTTAAGTAGAACATAGTTGGACGGGAAAACCAATGGCCAGATGAGATGATTACATAATCGAAATCTTGGATTTTGGTGCTCCAAGATTCATCAGGTTCATCTAGATATAAATTAAAAGGTTGATATATGTTATTGGGCTCCGTTTTATTTGCTTTTACCAAATAAGGTGCCCAAAATATGGACATGTTGAAGTTGTAATCTCTATATTCCCAACGTCTATTTTCTTGGTCTGTCGAATTTGAAACATCTATGGGGTACACAACCTGAAACCAAAATTACAACATAGTATTTAATGAATTTTACGAATTGTTATGATAAGGGTGGAGAAACAGCATTCTTGGAAAAGCAATATACGACAACATGTACTCAGTGAAATTTCACTAAATGGAGTCTGGAAAGGGTAGAGTATACGCAGAGCTTATCACTTTCCCGAGAGGAGGTAGAGAGGCTATTTTCAAAAGACCCTCGGCTCAAGTGCATCAAACTCAAGTAAAAGAAGAAGAAAACAATGAAGAAAGCATCACCGCTAATAAGAAAAGAAGTGTAAAGTCTACCAGAAAGAAAAGAAAAATAATAACAATAGCAAAATAGTGTGATAATCGAAACACAATACTAAAACAAGAACTACAAGGTTACGACTAGTACTACAACATGCACCAACAAATCTAAATATACACACAACAAGACAACATTTCACCCCTACTAAAGCAATATACTACCACTAAATTGAATATGATTTTGTAACGTATGTAATATAATATAGACAAATAAAAAGGACCACTTTATTATACATCACAAGTGGAGTTGTCAATACATATTAAAATCAAAATCGAATAAATATAGCTAGCAGTGGGCAACTAGTTGATTTGGACATCGACCCTTTACTCCTACCACAACTAATGTAGCTATCAATATGATTAAAAATGGGGTAATTTTTTGTGTTCCAAAATTTTTTATATGTCATTGTTTTGATAATTATAGTAAATTGAAACCTAACCATTTTCTTGTATCCATTTATTATCGTGAATCGGATGTTCAATTTTTGGCGTTTAGGTACGTTTAGGTATTAGAGTCTCATGTTGGTTCAAAATGTGGACTATGGTTTCCTTAATTATACGATTTTGGACAATATTCACACCGTAAACTATTTATAGATTTGAATTAAGTGCAAAGGTCTACTTTATTAGAGTATAAGTGATAAACTAAATGTGCATTTCCAACTAAAGTCGATGTAAGATAATTTTGTGAATTTCTCAATATAAATACTTTTTGTTTTATGAGTTCTTAATTAGATTTTGTCTTAATTAAGGTAATATATGTGTGTAAATTACTTCAAATAAGAGGGAATGTTGACTACCATATTTTTTTTTTTTTATAGGTAAAGGAAATTAGGACAATAAACTAAGTTACAAATGACAATTTTTGGTCCAGTAAAAAATAAAAACGTTAAGAGAACACTTCACCAAAATAATATGTGAATATATTATTAATTAGTACGTAGATTATAAGACACTGCAAATTAATTAGGTATTAATTAGCTAGTGAATGAGTTGTTAACTTGTTGGTTTGTTCTTGAGCTAAATAGTTATAAATAATTATCGTTAGGATGTTATTTTTATCTTTAAATTTCAAGTCAATGAGAGGGGGGGAAATGTGGAAGCTAGAAAAAAAACGTTCTAGATGACCAAGTTGGGTCTGATTTAGAAGGGGAAAAAACGTGTTAGTACTTTATAATATTGCTAGTGGAAGAAGCATAAAGAATGCCTTTTTCCAAAATACTCCCTCAATCTCGTATTAGATGGACATCTTACTAAAAATATTTATCTCATATTAGTTGATCATTTATTAAATTAGAATAGAATTAACAAAAAAAAATTCATTTACCCCTATAATTAATATGACCTTTGCAAGTTTAAATAAACTTTGAAGATCTAAGAATTTATTTTTTCAAGAAGCTAATTAATACTCCCTCCATTCCATATTAAGTTAATTTTTGAGGTGTTTCACACCCTTTAAGAAAAGTAGATTAAGACATAAATTGAACCTAGTTTTCCATTTTTACCCTTATTAATTATTATCAAATTTATGATTAAAATAACTAAATATTAATTAATCACTAATTCCAATACTAATTAATGAAGGGTAAAATTGGAAGAACACTCTAAAAGTAGTCTTGAAAACTGAACAATTAAGTTAATTTGAAAAAATGAAAAATGCCTCAACAATTAACTTAATATGGAATGAAGAGAGTGTGAATTAAGAGCAAAATAGTAAAATTAATCAATCTATTAATCATTTTTCAATCACTAAAAATAGAAAGTATCTACGAAGATTAATCATCAACAAAAAAAATATTCAAAATCTAACGTCAGCATAGACTTTTTATAATCCTTAAGAATAATCATGTTGTAGTTTTTTCTTTCACGATTGAATTTCTAGTTTTTGATTTATTAATCCAAAAGACAATTTTTTTAGGATAAATAAATGAGAAGTCAACCAAATTTGAATGTAGAGGTGACTTTATAATTATTTAGACTATTATAAGTATATTTAATTACAAGATCTAACCATGTGGAAATTAACTTTAGATCTAATTAACATGAATAAGGATATAATCAAACCCTTATTACATGTGGAAACTGAAATTATGTCCAAAAAAATTAAAGTCAGCGAAGAACAGTAATTAAGAGATCAAGTCACACCAAAAACACGTGGAATTGATTTTAAAAAATTCAAAGGTCAGACCATATATATGGAAAGATTCTTAAATTTGGAAACTCTCCGTGATTGGCGTTTGATTTGTCACTAAATTATAAATTAAAAAAATGCTAATATATACTTAAAAAATAGATCGTAAACTTTTAAATCTTAAACATTTCATGACTATTTATGTTTTCAACGAGCAAATTTGCAATGAAATCTCATCGGAAATTTATGTTTTTTAGTACCTCATAATTAAGAATAATGGCAGAGCTGACAATTCTAATAACATGATGCAAAAAAATGCAAATTTGTTATACTTAGCAAGAATACGTGATCTAAATTAATTTATGAACAACTTTTGTTAGTACACCATTAACTTTCTTGTACTCCTTATTCCCCAAATTTTTTGGTCGGTCTCATAAAAAAAATTAGATTTTATTTTAAAAATAATTTGACTTTAAATTCATATTTACATTTACACTTAATATAATCACACAAAAGTATTAAAATAATTTGACAAAAAAAAAATTTAAAAGAAAAATCTCTTAAATTTTGTACCAAATAGTATCACATAATTGAGAATATCAATAATTCATATTATAAAAACTTTTACTCATAACCTACTTTTGCAATATACTTTTTAGGTGAAGGAAATTCAATTAACCTTTCTTGCCTTCAATTCCACCATTGATTAAAGATCAAATAAAATGTTTAACATTAAAAAATCTACATATTAGACCAAACTAAATAGAGGGAATAGTAAATTGATCAGCCGGCCTCCCTCTTTTGGTTTTTCATCCATGTTCGATACTTATATTAGAGTTTAATTAAATTCGAATTCACACTGGGAAATTCCACATTGTGGTAAAGCGCTTCCTAACGGAGGCGACTCTGTATTCAAGGAGACTCAAACCCGAGACATCTAATTAAGTATGAAGAAATACTTATCACTCCACTACCATCCTTATTAGTAACCGGCCTCCCTTACCTACCCCCATCCCACCCCACACACAAATAAAAAAAAAAATACTCTACATGACAAAAAGATATTATTGATGAGAAATTACCTTAGACAATAGGCATATCAATGATTGCATATGATTTCTTGCAACTGAATCTCCAACAAAGGCCAATGATTTTCCCCTAACAAATTCAAGAAATTGATGTGCATCAAATATAGGCAGCTCACATCGATCAGGTTTCCATTTCCACTTCAAGAAATCAGTATCAGGCCTACCATATTTCATGCAATTTTGATGTTCTTGAATTGTAAAACATGTCTTATTTGTATAATATGGAGCTTCTTGATTTTCTACCCATTCCCCTGAAAATAAATCGCATTTTTCATCAGTACTATTAATAATCTTTGCTTCTTGAGGCGCCACGGAGACATGATCATCACTTTTGGTCACGTTAACTTGTTGTGTTGTACTACTATTGTTGGATTGGTGTTGTGTGTTAGAATCTGGAAGTGGTACCAATGAAGAAGAAGAAAGAACTTGTGAGAGTTTTTTAGGGTGCATAGAAGGATAGTATATAGGGATGAGAGTGAACAAGATGGCGAGGGCGACGAAGGGGGCAATTTTCGTAGCATTTTTCTTTCTTGTTTGTAGTTTACCTAATGAATGATCAAGATCTTGAAAATTCATGGAGGAAGAAAGAGAGAAAGAGTGAAGGAGAGAATGAAGAAGAAGAAGAAAAGGAGATGTGGACTTGTGAAAGAAGAAAAAAGGAACTTTTAAAAGTTGCAAATATGTAAATTCAATAAACAAATTATGGCCATGTATAAAATTAGACTTAAGTAAGACATGAGGAAATTCGTATTGCCGTCCTTCCTTCCTCTAATTTTGAAAATTAGAGTTCAATGTATTTGGATGCTCTGATTTATAAGAGATAAAAATAACACTCATACCGAAAAAGAAAAACTATTTACAAGTGGCTATCTCTTATTTTCATACCCTTATTTTTAACTATTAATGTGCGTTGACTATTTGATACCATCAAAGTATATCTATACTTTGATGGTATCAAAGAGGAAGAATCAGTTCTTCGGTGAAAACACTACTCAGTTACTCTGATAGCATCAAGGAGGAACGTGCAATGTTTCAATGAAAAGACTGCTCAATTACTGTTTTATACCATCAAAGTTTAGATACCATCCGAGTATATATATATATATAGTCATATGGTATCAAGGATGAGAAGCAGTTGTTCAGTGAATAGAACAAGGGGCAGTTCGGTCAATAGTTTGGGCCAATGATCCTAAGTAAATATATTGGGTTGGGTCCAATTTTGAATAAATATTGTCTAATAGGTCTAATTTGTGTAGTTTTCCCTTTATAAAATGTATAAATTGTGTGTATATATATAAAATACATACCTCAACCATTTATATACATATTTTATAAATTAATTGATCGAACTATACATATGGATAAGTATTTCCTAATTTTGAAAATTTGGTTATTTAAAAAATTATTGTTTCCTCCTTATTTTCTAAGATATGACAAAATTAAAGGAAAGAGTCATATGAAACGGAGGGACTCACTAAAAGGCACAATCCAAAAGGTGTTGGGCATTCAGATCATGCCTTTTTTTTCATCTTTTGGGTTGGACAAAGTCTTTTCCTTCTGCATATTTATAAATATTATTATTTCATTATTCATTACAAGTAGGAATTAAATATGTGTAAAAGAAAGTTAGCATTCCTTTCTATGATCAAACTAAATAGAAATCTCAACTAACAGGGAAGTAAAGGTGGTCCAACTTTATAATCATATAGTTATTCAATAATTGGAATTCTGACTCAGTAACACTATATTATATATATTAAGTTTGTTCTTCCTAGTGATCTAAATAAACAAGGAAGATTTAAAAGAAGAAAGCAGAATAAAATAAAGATAGTATGATTTTTTTAGAATATTTATAAATTTGAATTTGTTCCTTTCTATCTAACCAATCAATTCCTTCAACAAATTTTTAATTGGGTGAAGATAATGAAAGGTGGAATAATCAACAATAGGAGGGATTTTGTTTTTAGTAAAGAGCCATATGGTGGGGTCCAGTTAGTACATATCACAACTTTATTAAATGGGTTTGATTTAAATTTTTTTTTATATATATATATTGATTACTTTTATCTATACTTATAGATCATTTCTCATAAATAATATGGAAAATAGAGAAACAATTTTCTATATCGTATAAACATTATTCAACTTTCTTATTAAATTAAACTACTCATTTATATCGTACTCCTAAAGTTCACTACTAACAAAAAAGTAAGAACGAGTGACAAACAAATTATGTTTGCTAAAAAAATCATCATTTTGCTATTTAGTGATAGAATAACAACGAATTTCTCGGTATTACTCAGCTAGTTGGTTCTTCTTTTACAGGTAATTAACAAAATTTTATGGCTTAAATTACTCGCCAAGATGTCACATTTCAAATTATAGTTATCAAAAACTCCAAATATATTTACCACTTAACCACATTTCTCAAATATGTGTATGATGCCTGCAGCCTGTAGTAATCTGCTGATAATTTGGTGAAATTAGCTTCAGAATAATAACAAGGTTCGATCATTGCACAGAAAAACAAGAGTTTAATATCATGAGCCAACGATTTAAGTTTTTAGTATTAGACACCAGGAGAGAGAAATGTTGTAAATAATAAAAATGAAGTCTTAGCTCAGGAGCTTTGTCCATCGAATGATTTCTATATAGTTTGTACTGTTATAAGTGGACAAAGCATGTCCTACATCTCCAGGATTCAACCTATCCATATACATCCCAAAGGGGGGAGGTTGACACCTTGGTTTTCCTCTTCTTTTTTTCCTATGGTAGCTTCTAGTTTTAAGATCAGCTTATGGCATATGCATACCTCCAAGCAAGCAAATTACCAGTTACGATGGTAAAGCCTTTGTAGATCCTTGCAGTGCGTGCATGTCCATGGAAACAATGGAGGATCCAGACAATAGGAATGAATACAGAGAGTCTCGCAGAGATGACATTTGACTAGTAGGTCCTCTGGTTCTCGACAAGAGCATTGACAACAGACTGGAGTTCTTGTTGACTACATAAACCAAAATAACAAAAAAAAATGAGCACGGGAAACTGAAATGCAAGATGCAAACACATAACATATTTCACCCATGTTCTTCTCTTCTTCGTGAATGTTTGGATAGACACAAGTTTTAGCAAAAACATTAAAGCAACTCAGGCAAATCATTAGAACATGTAGAATAAATAACACATTGACACAAATTACTCAACAGTCTTGTCATCTGCTGAATCACATACTGAAATAAATAACAGAGCTGTTTTGCTGTTCAATTCTACCCAGACTAGCCCAAAAGGGCAGCTTTTTGATGTATCACTCTGTTACTCTTTTTATTAGGAGATTTCAACCACAGCAGCCATTAAGGATAGATAATGACAATACATATGGAACTCAAAGCAGGCGTCACCACCAACATTCAGTGCAAATCAAGTTCCATAATTTCAAGTGAGATACTACCTACTTCATTTGCTTTGTTTTCTTGCTATTTTGCAGTCGTTATTTCCTTTATATCCTGCTTTGATTACACTTCTTTTGAGCCAAGGGTCTATCGGAAACAATCTCTCTATCCCACAAAAGTAAGGGTAAGGTCAACGTACATCCTACCCTCCCCGGACCCCACTTGTGGATTTACACTGGGTATGTTGTTGTATACTTTAACCTACCGTCTTTGGCCTATATTAACTAGATAGAAGTTTTTAACTGTAAAATTGTTTTCTAAAATTACTGATTTTTGAAAAGTCAACAGTGCCAAGGGGAATAGCTCTAAGTTGGCTGTGGACAGGTATGCCTATAAGTAACCATGCTTCAAGAACAGTGCAAGGGCAACTCTTTAATACTAAATTTGAAGAATCAGATGAGCATTAGAAGTAGTGGAAGTAAGATACCTACTTTGATCTATAAAACTGAATAGCATGATACAGGCAACTCAATGTCCCAGTCACACTCATTACACCAAATAGGGAAATGTTTAGGCTATTCATGCATCCGACTCAAGGCAGTTATACCTTAAGTGTGACCTTTGTCTGCACCTGTTGGAAGAGAAGGCCCACGGATGCAGAAAAGGTATCCAATAGGATGGTAATACATGTTAGTTGGTGACAATGATGAGATATAGATATTCACATCAATGTACAGCACAAACAAACAGAAGGTGATGTTCTCCACATAACAAAATAGAATGGAAACTGCCATTGAACTTACATTAGAAGGTAACCTTGGTGTTACACCCTCAGGAAGTATATATATGTCCATTACTGGATTCTGCTCCGGAATAGTTTGGGTGTATATCCTTTGATCAGCAGGAATTGCATCATCAACCTTTCTAATGGCAACAAAACTAGCCTTGCACAAAGGGCATGTTGATACTTTTCTGCTTGATGCCTATGATGAGGGTATTATGAAAGGAAGATATTAATCGAAACAAAAAGAAACATCCAAGAATCACAAGTTGCACTCGCATGCATAAATGAAATTATACATCTCATCACAATGACATGCGAAAATTGGAAGTGAATAGAAAAGGAAACTTCTACTAGACAATTGAAATGACAGATGGGAAGATTTACCATATGATTGGCCCACGTCTGGATGCATGAGAAACAAAAACGATGACCACAGGGAAGCACCCCCCTGGATGAACTAAAGTCTGTCCAACATATGACACAGGATAACGCAGTTGATGTAGACGCTTTGCAAGTATTATCAGTCTCATTTTGGACCTCATCAATAGCTGGGCATGGCTCTTGTCGATTTCCAGTAAGATTAGAGGAGGCACTTTCTATTTGTAAACTCTGATCACCATTATCAAGAGGTCTGTTAACTTCAGTTTCCTCAATACCATCCAGGTCTATTCTACTTGGCTCCGACTGATAGCAGTTAAAACCAGATCCATGCCTGTTGTTCACAGATACTTCCGGCATTTCAACATCCAAGTTGGAAAATTGTGCTGAAGTTTCAAGTTCCTGACGAGTTTGTCGTCGGAACCTCTGTTTCTCTGAACCTGAAATAATTTCCAGAAGATCCCCACTAATGTTCTTCTTCATCAATCTACGACTTCTGCAAGAAGTTTCAGAAAATTCAGAACTTCTCTTATTGGATATAAAGGAAGCTGAAGAGGGAAAATTCAGTTCTTCAATCTACAAGAAAAATATTAGGAAAAGAAGAGTATCAACTAAAGTTTCAAAAGTAATGCAATAAATATTGACAGTCTGAATGCTAATACCTCTATCCTATGTGAGCCTTGTAAAGAGTGCTCATTGGAACAATATTTGCTGCTGGAGGGGTGATCCTCATTCATAATATTGGCCTTTGCTTTCCTCCTTGGTCTATCCTTGTATTTACCCATCTCAGGAAATAAATTCTGCAACCAGTAGCATACAGGCAAGAAATGAAGCTGTGTTTTATAATTCTTTTATATAGATGTGTTTCAGCACACATTTTGCAGTACAATATATATCCAATACCTAGAGCCATAGAGAAGTTTGGACGACATTCTACAAAAAAATATTGTAAAATTGGGAATGCAAATGCAAGAGTAGATATGCACACTTGATTTAAACTGAATCAATGTGTTGTTTCCCTCGATAACTTAAAATTCACGTGCTAGTTCAATGAAAATTCATCAAAAAAAAAAATTACTTTTGATTTGGCGACCATCTTTCAGCTCCTTTTACTGAAAGAAGAAAGAGAAGTTTTTGTCTACTGCTCAATCAGACCAAACTTAAAACTCGTATGAGTCGTTTGAAATAGATGGAACAAAGAAAAGTGAGAACATCTCTACAGAAACACAAATC